CTATATTTTTTATATAATAATTATATTATTAACATTAATATTTTATTTTTTATTAAAAAATTAATACTTTTTTTTATATTTGCAGGTAAATTTACCTGCTTTATAGTTTAAGAAATAATAATAGTAATATAATAATAGTAATAGTAATAGTAATAGTATTTCTTTTTTAATTTTTACTTTTTTATAATTTTTAATTGTATTTTTAACTTTTCAACTATTTTAACAATTTTAATGTATTTCGATTTTAATTTTGATGACTTTCAAATTGAAATATTTTGACTTTTAGATTATAATTTTAGCTTATACAGTGATCATTTTTCACTGTGCGGCTTGTGCGCGTCACACAATTTTATAAATTTATGCACATCTTTTTAAAAAAAGTGTGCGCCACTCTGCACAGAAAAAATTTTATAATGCCGCATATTGCGCACAATTCTGCACAATTCTGCATAGTTACGCATAGTTATACAAAGTTATACAAATGTAAATTAACCATAAAATGTTTCACAACATGATCTGATAATATATAATTAACTAATTAAGAAGTTCATTCAACAAAATTTTATATTTAAAATCAAATTTTTCACAATGAAAAGATTTTTTTCAACTCAGCAAGCTCAAAAAGGCAAGCAAAAACAGTCTGAATCTCATGGTGAAGCTTCATCTAGTGAAAGACCAGATTCAACAAAACCATCTGAAGTAAAACGTCGCAAAACTAGAAATAGCCCTGATTCAAAATGGATGGATAATGGAAATAGTGCATGGTTAGAATATAGAGATGTATATAGAGTAGTATTGATGTTTTGTAGATGGTGCGAAGTGAAAAAATACACAAATGAGCTTGCAAAAAGAACAAGTAATTACTGAAAACAAAGTATTGATCGACATCTTGCTCATCATGAACATAAAGCAGAAGCAGAGGCAAGAAAATCCAATCAAAGTAATTTAGTAGTTACATTTTCACGTCAATTAGATGCAAATAAAATTAAAGTTATAACGCAAATGCAGTGTATTTACTTTACGGCAAAAAAATATATAGCACTTTCAATTTATCCTAATCTATATCAATTGGTAGATTTTCATAAAAAAAATTCACAAACTATGAATCTTTGCGATACCCCTAAAGCATTACAACTACCATCACTTTCCTCAAAAAATTTATCATCAGAATCAAATGAATATGGTTCACATTTATCAAACACATTAGCAAAAGATTTTGAAAAAGCAATTATTTATGTAATTGAAAAAGCATTATGTGAAGAAATAAAAGCTTCAAACAATTGAAGCATTATGATTAACGAAACTAATTCAATTACAAACGAAAAGCATTTAGCTATTGTTTCACAACATATTTCTCACAATGTTCTAGTTACATGATACTTACATTAATTGGCACAAAGACAGGCATTGTTAGGCAATTTCAAAATGTTAATCCTTTATTACATCTGTGCATTGTATAGCATATAGACTACATTTAGCTGAAAAAGATGCGGCAAAAAATGTATCTTATTTTAATCATTATGAAAGTTGTGTGAAAAGATTATATAATTATTTTACAGGTTCTTATCAACGTATGCAAAACCTGAAAATGATACAAGATGCGTTAGAGGATCCTCAATTATGTATTCTTAATATAGTCAATACAAGGTGGTTATCAATGTCTAATAGTGTGAAAAATCTACATCAAATATTGGATTCGATAATGGATGCATTATGTTATGATGCTGAATTTGGCGAAAAAAAATCAAATCAGAATCTAGCTAAGAATTTACTTGAAGAATTAGATTATGAATTCATTATTTCTACTAAATATCTTGCAGATTTAATGTTTATATTAACAAAATTAATCAATATATTTCAAAAGGAATATGTTAGTTTTGCAGATATTAAAATTCATTTAGATGCTACATATGATGCAATAACTGCTCAGTTTATTGAAACTGATGGATCTACTCCTTCGTATGAAACTCATTTATATAAACATATGCAAGAAAATAATATTTTACCAGAAAATTTACCAAAATTTATTAAAAGTTTTTCTGAATCAATTATTAATAGTATAAAATTAAGATTTTCCCAATCTAATTTGTATTATTCTTTTCGCATCTTTGATCTAACACTATCACCTATTAGAGAAAGTGAATTAGGAGGTTATGGTAACGAAGATATTAAAAAACTTGCTGATTTTTATGGAGTAGACAAATTGGATGGTAATGGAAATATGATAGAAAAAATAATTGATGGTGATGAAGTAAAACTAGAATGGGCAATGGTAAAATATTATATAAAACAAATAAGAGATCAAAATATAGTAGGTGGTTGGAAATATATTTTTAATATGTATTCAGATTTCTCCGATCAGTATCCAAATATTGTTAATTTAGTTAGAATATCATTAATTATTCTTTTATCAAATGTACAGGTTGAAAGGATATTCTCTTAACACAAACTTACCAAAACTAGATTAAGAAATAGAATGTGCGTTGAATCATTAAATCAACATTTAATGATCTTACTTAATGGACCAGATGATTTTTGTAAATTTGATTGGAATAAAGCATATGATCATTAGGCAATGAAATTACGTCGGTCAAATTGATTTTTATAGCCTTTGTAGATATTTGTAAATATTTTTGAACAATTTTTTTTTTTTTGTAATTTCTTGA